GGCCGAAGGCCGGCTCCGGGAAAGAAGACTCTATCACGCGGGTCTCAGTGTTCCCAAACGACACTGTCTTCCGCTTGACTGACGGACATGCCATATCGAATGATGCTGCACAAGCGAACGCAAAGTCTCCAAAGGAGGATGCTGTCATTGCCTGAGGGTTGCGGCACGCCCCTCTCAAAAATCCGAGGGCGTTGGCGCCGGGCTGTCAACCCGCCTTGATGTCGGCGCGGGCTCAGCAGGCGCAGGAGCGGCAACAGAAGTGCTCTCAGCAGGAGCACCAGGCTTCACATGCTTATACGAACACTTATCACCTCTCGTGCAAGTTCCACGGGCATAGTAGAAGCATATGCCAGACTCCTTCGATATCGGTGACTGGGATCGAGGCGGGAATCCTTTCGGCGAGGAGCTCCTACCTTTGAGGTTGTGAGAGAACTTACAACCGCTTCCTCGCGTACATCTGCCGTTCTTGAAATCGTAGCAGATTTCCCGCCCTCGTGGAGATCGTGATGCAGGGCGCGTTGCGGCAGGAGCGGCCCTGCCCGGACTGCGCGGCGAGTATCGCCTCGGCGAACCGCGCCTCGGGGAGGATCGTCTGGGCGACGAGCGCCTCGGCGAGCTCCTTCGGTAGGGACTCCCTCTTCTCGAGTCTCGGCGTCCAGGAGATCTAGATCCCCTCTTGCTTCTTGAGAAGGATCTGCGTGGGCTACCATGTGCAGGAGCAGCATACCGTCTTTGCGCAGAGGTGGATCGAGTAGCGGTGTACATCTTCTCCTGGTTGCGACGCCGGCGCCAAGTTGTAATCGCATTGACGCAGACAGTCCGCAAATATGCGTAGTTCCGAACAGACACGTCCCTGTCCCACAATTGCATATCGAGCTCGAGACAGCGGAACTCGCGTACCTGCTCATAGAAGAGTGCGCAGAGAACAGGGTCTTCGGGACGATCGACTGAGATACCAGCGAGAACATGATCCCACCGATTGGAGAAGGCTTCTAATTTAGCCTCTCCTGCTCGGATCCATGAGTAAACCGATCAATCGTGGTTTTCATCAGATCGACGAGCTTGAAAGTCGAATCGCCAGTAACATGTGGTCGGAGGAAATCATACAACAACCACAAGATCTGCCTACTGCCGAGTCGCCGATTAATCGTATGCATGCGCTCGGTTTCGGTCTGGATCTTATTCTTTAGTGCAATGGATTTTACGCACTCGCGAAATGCAGAGTTGCATTCATTTTCAAGCATTCCGTACTTGCACTCATCGAGAAGGTCTTCATATCGTGTACCATCGGGAATTTCAACCCACGAGAGTGCGTACCCGGGATCGTATGCGAATGCATTTGCAACTCGCTCCTTCATGTCAACGATCCAGCGCCGCAGCTGAGCGGGCTCCGGCTCGGGATCGAGTCGGAATGACTTGCATTTCGCCTTCTTAGCCTCGCTCAGCGATCCATCGCCTTTGGGTCCACCGAATCCCGTATCGTTGGGACCGGGCGGATTCCCAGTCTGTCTCTCAAGACACACGAGACAGATTCTCAAAGGATCTCGGCAACATCCATTGCAACACGAGAATCGGCAAGATATGCACGATCGCCGCACGGTGGTCGGGAAAGTTCCGGTGCAGCGCTCGCACTGGAAAGTATCATTCCCGCTCGGCCGGTCGGAAGGCCTGATGCTAGGCGGATCAAGCCCACCATCAGGCGGGCCATTTCCGTCAGGAGGGCCACCACCACCGGGCGGGCCGCCGGGCGGGCCACTGGGTGGTCCACCACCGCCACCAGGACCGAAACCGGACCCGTGGTGTCCATGTCCACCAAAACCACCACCATATGCACCCCCGTCATCGTTGGGGCCACCACCACCGAAAGAACCACCGTCACCGCCATGTGCGGGCGGCGGTCCGCCTAATCCGGATGGCGCAGCACTGGGTGCAGGGGCGGACGTTCTAGCATTAAAGGTGGGCATCGGAGGCATAGTCCATCCATCGACGTCATCAGTGGCAGCAGGGCGAAGTGTTCCAGTGACGCTTGCGTTCGGTGCTAGCGTGAAGGTACCAGTCTCGCTATGGAGAACAGGTGCACCAGAACCGCTGCCAATGAGATTGGATCGGCCAAGCATTGCATCATACCATCTTGACGGTCCCTTTCCTGCAGGAACAGTTCGTGTATCATACGAAATTTGGCATGGAAACGTAGGGCTCCGCTTGGGCTCTGGAGCAAATCTCTGGGTTTCCGGGTCATAGCGGACGCCACTGCGAATGGCCAGATCATCATCAACAGGGAAGGGTCTGACACTCGGAGCTTGGCTTGATGTCGCTCCGGCGGCATTTGTGGACGGAACGGTCGGAATCGGAGATCTTCCTGAAAAAGAGGCAGACGTTTGGCCATAATTTTGTCGGACGGGCTCAACAGGATTATTTTGCCCGCGACTTTCAGGAGGATGATCATCAGCGACTCGTTGCTGCGCGCGCCTCAGAAGGTCATCAAGATTTATGCCACTCATCTGAGAGTGCACCGTTGAGGCCTTTTCAGCAGGCGCAGCATTGCATCCCGGCGGAGAGCCATGATCAATCGGACCCAACAAAGAAGATCTCGGAATGGCTGTAGTCGGTCCGCCAGGGAATAGAGCACCAGGAACTGGCGGCATGTCCGCGGGACGTGGGATATCCCCATCATGGTCACTGATGTCGAAGAACTGCGTCCGTTCCGGACGCGAAGGCGTCGACATGTCAGAACCACCCCTGCGGACATGAGCACTCTCAAGATGCTGAATGCGAGCAGTGAGCTGATCGATGAGAACTCGGTTACTCTCCTTATGATCGTAGAGAGCACGGCTCATTTCGGTTCTAATGACCTCGATATGGTGTGTAGCATTCTGCTCAACCGTAGCGATGCGCGCCTCAGCATTTGAGATATTGATCTGAATTTGCTGCAGCGCATCAGGGTAATGCTTGATGTGGCGGATCGTCTCAGCAAGCTGCATGGATATCGATCCAGCACGCTTTTCGTTGAATCGGTGAATCCGCTCATCAAACTCAATGAATCGATCGTTGACCATCGAGTTGAGCCTCGCAAAATGCTCTTCAGGAGTTTCATGGTCCGAAATCCGCCTATCGCGGACGGAGTCCTGAAAGATCGTGTGTAGTTCACGCTCCTTCCTCATCTCGGCCTGTAGAAGCTCCCACATTTCTCGGATCTTGTCTTCAAGTGCTTCAGCAATGTCCGAGACGCCGTTCCTCAGAATATCGAGGTCGGCTTGGGTGTTGGTCACACCCTGCGCGATCGCCAGAATATCGGTGGCGATACGCGCGGATGCTTCCGACCCAATGGCTTCATCGACCAGGGCCCTGACAGCGCAGGGACCGGGAAGCCTCCCGCCGTTATCGGTGGCGGGGGCAGCACCACCATGATCCGCCGCGGTAATCGTTGCGACGGAAACATGGGGTGCACCCGGGTGCTCGCTCATGGGCTCGTCGGGGAGCGAGGCTCCACCGCGGCCTGCCACCGGCCCATAAGAATCGGGGCGCGGTGGACGAAAGGACGCCGGGTCCGAAATCGGTGGACCGGCCGTCCGGCCCGGACCCAAAGAGGGCCCGAGCGCCCTCTGGATCCCCGCGAAGGGACAGAGGACAAGACAAAGAATCGGTCGGAAGAAGGGCAGGTGCGGAAGCAGCAGGAGCAGCGGACGCAGACAAGGCAGGCAACAAAGGCAAAGCACGAGCGGTGGCAGAAGCAGGCAGCATGCCGGCGTGCATCGTGCCAGGCGTTGCGAAAGCGGCAGCAGAGCATGGCAAAAGCGGCGCATGGTGCTGAGCTCTCTGATCGTCCTCAGCAGGCGGCGAAGCAAGCAGCGAAGCAGAGCGAGCGAGCGAAGCGTGCGAGGCGGGTGCAGTGCAGCGAGATGCGTGGGCACTATCATCGGGCTCCACGACATCCCGAGCAACTGGCGTCACTAGTGAGGAACCGACAGTCGGGGGGACACGGGGAGAACCGATCGGAGTCGCCATTCTCTCGGTGGCGTGGCCAATCACAAGTTCCGAACTTGGTCTGAGCCAGGAAAACGGTAGTGATCAGACACTGATTGGATCAGGCGGTCCGAGTGCCGAGCAGCAGCAGCGAAGCAGCAATCCACAATCGGATGCGGAGGCCCTACGGCTGATAACCTGTGAAAAGCGGAGGATTCCACTCAACTCTCGGTCACAAAGCCCAAGGCAGCCGATCGCAGATCAAAGCAAAGCAAGCGGTGCAAAGCAGGACAATCAGAGATTAAAGCCGTAAGATTGACGCTCAGCGGAAAGACAACACCAGAACCCCCAGGCTCTAGCGGATCTTTTGCTGGGACTCGCGCATGCGGTCCTTGAGCAGTCAAGCTGCGTAGTGAGACAAAGTTGGTCTGATTCCTAACCAGAAGGCAGAAGCACATATACGCATGTCAGTGACAAATCACACCTAGCGAACCTACACCCCAAACCCTCCCTAAGCCCTTGTCGACTCGAAGCCTTATGCCTCGTAACCCAAAACCCTAAACGCAAAACTCAAGACCCCAAACCCCAAACCCCCCGCAACCACCCCACAGGGGGAAGAGGGAACCCACACTCAATCCCACAGGAGGGAGGGGGCATCCTGGACCATAGACCATGGAGGGGGGGGGAGGGGGGTGGCCGCGGAGAGCGTATACACACCTTTTTTTATAACAAGCTGACCTACGGACTACTGTTGGTAATTATTACAGCCCTAGACCCAACCTCTAATGCAAACAGCAGAAACGCGGGAAGCCCCAAGCCTAAGTCCAGAAACCTAAATCCTAAACCCCTTTAAGGAAGCCTTAGACAGCACCCTTTGAAGAAAGCCTTTTTCAAGAACCACTCCTAAGGAACCCTGTAGTGAAAGTTTAAAGGAACCCTTTACGGACAGCCTTGCAGGAAACACTTACTGCAAACGCGGTACTGCTGATAACTCTAGAACCTTTTAAGCTCCAGCCCCCAACAATCAGGCTCGCAGCAGAAGCGTGGAGCGCCAACAGGAATCCAACAGCAGCGACAAGAACTTCCTGAGTGGGAACTTGGGGTATGAACGCCTTTTTGATAAGGCGTATTGGGGCTACAAGGCTTTTGGGGCTTTTTAAGTGTGTTCGCTTTGTGGGGGCCTGGTATGAAGTTTAGGGCTGTAGCGGAACTGTCAGAAACTTGGCACTGTCTTGGGCCAGATCTCTTAGAGTTGGGGCCTCATAGTACCCCGAAAAGTATAAACCCTCCAAACCATAAACCAAACAAGCCAAACCCTAAGGCCTAAACCTCAAAACCAAAGCTCTTCCGTGAGCTCTGAGCGTCCATCCCACCAAAACTATCTTACCCAGAGGCCTGTAGTAGGGGATTACCTTATAGGATGCTATATATGAACCCCAAAAAGGAACTACTTTGGGGCCTCTGGGTCGCCTAGGGACCTTGAGACTCTGAGCCTTCATGTACACACCGTCGAATGGGTTTCGTGTTTTTGGAGAAGCTAGCTAGTTCTTCAGAGGCCACAATGCCATGAAAAAAACCACGAGATGTGCCGGGAAGGTTGTGAACTTCGCTGCAGTTGTTTTTGCGAAGATTAAGCCTTCCATGCAGGGCAAAGCTAGCCTAAGCTAGTTGGGTCAAAATGTCGTGGCTTGGGAGGCGTGCTGTTTCGGATTTGCATGTTGGATTCGGTCCTGGGAACAGAGCCTGATCTAAAGAGCTGTACACAAGCTAAATGACCCAAATAGAACCGTTCAAGCAATCCCCTAACATAGAACCGCTAGCAACAGTATAAACTCAATGCTTTAAAGCCTTATTCATCTTGCTAATATCTTCACCATGATGAGTAGTACTACCATAATTTTGACTAGAAGCCAGTAACCAGTAACCTGTCTTAGATCTGTTGCTACGATTCTTGATATTATCCGTACTGCTATGGATTGTTGGTATTAATGTTGCTACTAACTATCATTTGTGGTATTCGTAGGGTTGTTCTCACTAGTAAAAGTGTCAACAAGTGTATGTTTATCACGGAAAACAGCATTCTGATTATTATTGGTGATGCTATTGCGGTTGGAATTACTATTCTAAGTATTGCTCTGAGTACTCTTATTCTGAATCTGATTATTTTAGGTTTGGAGTACATTACTTATGCTTAGCAATAATGCCATCGTTCTGTTGAAAGTCTTATGCTGGTTACTACAGTTGAAGATGTCAACCCTGCATTACCCATAATAAGGAATATGGCATAATTCCCATAGTTTAGGGTCCTTAAGGTAATGCAGGATTTATATCATCCACCGCAGTATTGGCATTCCTCCTTAGTTACCATAGCCCGGCGGCCAACGGCCCGGCGTAGTCCAGGTATGAGAGAAAAAGACCTGGGGTCGTCTGGCAAGTTCGGGATTTGGGGTCTTAGGGTTTAGGGCACAGGCTTAGGCTTGCGGAAGGGTCTTACCGGGTTGCATAGGATTCATGGGTGCTGTCTCGGATTTAATTGCTTGGGGCTTTGGGGTTTAGGATACACGGCTTTAGAAGTCTTTGGAATTCAGGGACTCTACAACGGCTGTAGCAGCTGGCCATGCTTTGCTTGTGTATTATACTGATGGGATTCTACGATGAACTATAAGTTTTACGGGTTCGCGGTCGGTTCGATGCTCTGCTCTTCGCCCAGAGTGCTGAAACCTCAAGCTAAAAGTCTACGAATGTCGGACACCTTACCAGAAATCGAATCCCCGAGCCCCCGAATGAAACCCTGCAAAACCCGTATATCAGAACAAACAATCTGTTAGATCAACGGCCTTGTCATATCCAGCTCATTGACGTAAATGCTTAGAGAACACTGCAGGGATTGTGGGTCTGAAATGGATCGCTGGATTTCTGCGAACAAGCGTGTGAAGACTCCGCCAAACAATTGAGCCTTACGTCTGGGGTTGAGGGTTTAGGGTTCAGGGTTTCTGGTTGGGGTTTGGGGTTTGAGCCAACATAGTACGTGTGGAGACTTGGATTCCGGGCTTTCTGGCGTGGTTGAAGATGAGGCGATGCTGCAATCTTATTATCTACCAACCACCATATCAAAGCTCTGCAACCGTCATGCACTCATAAAAAGGAGAGGCCACAATGCAAAGCCTATAAATGCAAAGCCTATAAACAAAAGATAAATGCTGCTGACGAAAACATGCTGCTTGTGATAATTAAGTCCCGTGTTAGCTGCCGCCACAGACACTTCGTAGCCTTCGGCGCTTCGACTATGTGCGTGCAGCTGTCGCAGCTGATGCTCCTAGTCACTTTGGGGATTTAGGGCTTAGGGCCAGCGCTTGGGGCGTAGGGTATATGATCTTACGCCGAGGTATTTAGACGTACTTAGATTTTGAGGATCTTGCTCAGAAGTTGGATTCAAGATACCATCATCTGCGTGTATAGTCCAGTAATTAACTGCACGAGCATTGGTAACCTAGGTTGAATATGTCCTAAACCCCTAAACCCGAAACCCTATATACCCTTAACCCTATACCCTAAACCCCTACGGCCCTGCGGTTCGGCATTGGAACCATGGGTTGTGCAGCCTGCAATGTACGGTGACTGTAAGATTTCTGCTCCTCTTTCACGATATGTTAGCCCAGGGGTCTACAGCATGCAAAACAGATGCTCCTGGGCATGTCTTTTTCTTGACCCCCTAAGTCTTTTTTTTGACCCCCGATCGTTTTATTGACCCCTGAACATCTGCATTCTGACCCCTTTACCACTTCTTTCTGACCCCCGTATCTTTGGTTTGACCCCTACTGTCTTGATTTTGACCCTCCTGTAGCCGGGCAGGCCAGAGCCTAAACAAGTAAGCCCCCCACCACAGGCTACAATATCTGGAGAATTTCACCCCTCCTTACACAAAATACTGATTCCAAGACCTTGCTAAGCACCGTCCCGGGTCCAAACACAATGCTTGTAAAAAGGCTTCATGGGGGAACGTCATTGATTGGCACAGGTTCGCATGTTGGGATGCCCCTGTAACTCTTCCAGGCATTCCTGCGGGTTCGCTTCATTCGCACAGGCTCGCATGCAGGGATCGGGCAGGTTAGCGTGCCTTCCCCAGACAGGGGTTTTCTGCGGGGCTAAGGACGACGCTCGAATAGGTAATGTCCGGGCTGGGTTCACTGGTGGGGACTTGCAAACCCGCTGAAACGCTTGGGGGGCGCTTCTTCCACGGGTTCGCTTCACTCGCACAGGCTTGCACAATGGGATGTCCGTGATTGGTGATGGCACAGCATTGGTCTCGGGTACGTACGTATATAGGTTCGTGCGCGGACAGCTGTTGTGGCACGAGGCGCAGCTGAAGCCTGCGGACTCTGATCGTGCTATTGATGCCAACGGCCAAACGACGTCGCACAGGGCAGCACCCGTCGGAGAACGGCAACTGGTTCTGGGAAGATGTTAGAGCTTTATATGATGCTTCGTCGAGCCTTGATCTAGGCCACATGTCTGGCTGTCCTGCTTTCCATGTTCAGCTGGATGGGCGGTGCCACCAAGAGGGCTCTGATTTTCTTTTGACGGGTACTTTGTTGGCCACTTGGTTTGAGACTTCCGAGCGTTCCGACCCTCGTGGGCACAGGGTCTAGCATCGTCTCGTCCTGGCGTGGTGGCGGTATCAGCTCCCTGCCAACCTTGCAGCCCGACATCATCTTGTTGGAGCCGGTGGAACTCCGAGGCAAAGGCCTTGGACTGATGGAGTGCCCCTGATTCTTGAGTCAAAACCCTGACAGATCTTGAACTTCGAGGGTGGGGCCTTGGGTTGATGGGGCGCCCCTGATATCGGGTTTAGCGGGTTTATCGGGTTTATCGGGTTTATCGGGTTTATCGGGTTTAGCGGGTTTATCGGGTTTATCGGGTTTAGCGGGTTTATCGGGTTTAGCGGGTTTATCGAGTTTATCGGGTTTACCGGGTTTATCGGGTTTATCGGGTTTAGCGGGTTTATCGGGTTTATCGGGTTTAGCGGGTTTATCGGGTTTAGCGGTGCGCGTCCGCTGTTTGCGCGCGCAGTGGGAATTTCGTTGCCCAGCGGGCAAATGCTGACTTGCTTCGGCTTGCAGAGGCCACAGACCAGCTGACGGTGGCAAAGGTCAAAGCGCACCAAGAAGTGGCATCAATGAGGGCAGCATCTCGTGAGGAGCAGTGGCGGGCAGCAGGTAACATTGCGGCCGACCTGGCTGCTAAACAGGCGGGACAACCTGCCGGAGCTCCTGAGACAATCAGCGGATGAGGCGGCGGCTCATTGTCAACAGGAAGGCCAGCTACTCAAACAGTATTGCCAGGCCGTGCTGGACGTTGATGTCTTGGACAACCAGCTCCGCGCAGCTGCTGAGTCGCAGGCTGTTGCTTGAAAGCTCATCACGGAGCAGGATGCTGTGCGCAACTTGGAGCTACGACTACAAAACTGGCAGATCCCTTTACCTGGTGCACAGGTGCTTCCCCCTACTTGGGAGGTGGACTGGACTGGCTGGCCTGTCGGTCAGGAATTTTGCGAGGTCCTGTTACGTTGGCTGGATGAGTTGCCCTCACAAACTTGGCAGGTTGCTTACCTTGAGCTCCTTGCCCACTTTGTGTGGACCACATGGCAGCCCCCACTAATCGAGCCACCAAGTGGAGCTCAGCAGAGGTAATTACGAGCCAGTGGATGCGGCTTGTGCCCGACTGCTTCCATGTCACCGTTCAGGGGTTGTGGCCTATTCTGCAGTTGCGGCGATGTGTACCTGGCTTTGCACTACCAGCAGCGGAAGTTTCAGATGTCCCCCACTTGCAAGCCTTTGGTCTGCGACCGGCTGTAGGTCTGAATGCAAGGCCGGGCTTTGGACAAACAGATTGGATCCCTTTTCTGCGAGAGTTGTGTACGGATGCGGCAATGGAAGTCTTGATTCGTGCATGCCGTTTACCTTGAGCCAATTGCGCTTTGAGGTGTTTCTTCTCACCAGGGACAGAGCAGCGGATCTTTCGTGGGTGCTGAGGTGTCGCAGTTTGCATGCTTCATGTGTGCTTGCTGCTGGCTTTCTGCATTCATACAACGGTAACGGTTCGCGCGCGGACAGGGGTTTTCTGTGGGGGCTAGCCCCTTCCCCCTTTGCAAAGCCGCTGAAAGGATTCGTCGTAAGGACAATGCTGAAACAAGGAATGTCCGGCGTGGGTTTCGAATGGGTTCGCAGGATTTGCACAGGTTCGCATGGCGGGATGTCCATGGGTGGTGATGCACACCATAGGTTGCCGCGGGCAGTTCCAGTTCCGGCCGGTGCATCCCCCTTTTCCATTTGCAAGCACAGTGCTCGAACTACGGATTGTGGGGGTTGCTGGGTGGGCAGCCTCTTCTAAGAAGAGGCAGGCATTCGTGCTGGTTCGCTTCATTCGAGGCCTGGTGAGGTCCGAAAAAGAACCGTCATTCCCCATTATAAACCCCCCTCAACTATGAAACCCTGCCGGGAACGGCCCTCTGCTGGTGCCTGCAAAAGCCAGAAACACAAGTGCGAATTTTAGAGCCGAGCCCTTTGATTCGAAAAGCTTTGGATTCAACACAATTTTCATATCAAAACTCTACTTTGCCTTGGGTCGCTATTTCGTCAGGCAAGCAAACCCCTATATCAACCCTCTCCACCAGTATCCACTACATCTCTATATTTTCGTAAGATAACCTCTGCTTGCCAACACTTTTTCTGAAACGCAATGATCCAATGATGCGCTTTCAAGAGAACTCTGTGCGTTTAAGCAAGCTTGCACGGCTCACAGGCAGGGGTGGCGCGCAGCCCGTACCCACGCTGGAGCCTTCATGGCTTAGCTTGCGGGTATATGGTTTAGGACGGAACCCCTTCATCAGTCGTCAGACCTCGGCCTTGTCCAGTTAGCCGGGCTGCGGGGGCAGGTCGGCCGGGTCGGGGAAGGGACTTCCGAGGTCAAACAAAAGATAAAAGAGGGTGACCCACGAGATCGGGATCGCGATACGGGTAAATCTAGGGGGTTTGAGGGAAGACATAAGGGGTCAGAAAAAGACATAGGGGGTTGGAATGCAGATCGGAAGCAAACTGGGGCCGGCAGGGGGAGGGGGCGGGGCTGCCCCGGGGTTGGGGGTCAAAAAAAAGATGCAGGGGGTCAGAAAAAAGAGGTCCCCGATGCTCCTCACCCCATATCCGTAATCGAAGGGCATTAATGAGTAGAATAGGATTTGGGGCGTACTTTACTGCAGTTATACGGGGACTGTCGGATAGTACAGTACATTAGTCATGCTTCACTCCCCGATAGAAAACACTGAACCCTAAACCCTAAAGCCTGAACCCTAAACCCTAACCCCGAACCCTACACCAAGCCGCTATGCGCCTCCATTTTCATCGGAGAGCTGCGCCACATGCGACCAGCCTTTTCATCCGCAGTCCGCAGTTAAGGATCTCGCAGCAAGCCCAGTCAGCGTAGCAACCATAGTAACAATCAATAGCACAACGGGCAATAACTATCAAAATACTGGTCATCAGAGTAAGGAGTCTCAACTAACTAAAGGCATGCAGAGTTCGTGTGTGTCAGCTGGGACTCCATCACCCTCACCCTTAACGAACCCTTAAATCCCAAAAAGCCCTATGCAAGCCTAGTGTCAGTCTTTCGAAGACTGAAAAAAGGTGATCGGGGCCCAAGCGGTCAAGTTGCGGGCTGTCTCTTCGGGTTCAGATTTTGATTTGGGGGTTTACGGTTTAGCGTATATCCCCTTTCCCTACATGGGGATTTTGGATGTTAGACGGTTCTTATAATGCTTTGCTTTTGGGGTTCTGTACGGTTTGCCGGGGATGTGGGGTTTGGCATTTAGGGTTTTGGGTGTAGTAATGGTTGAGGGGGCTTTGGCCTTCCTTCGCGTAAGGCTGGTAAACCCTTGCGCCTTAACATAGGGACCTCAATAGTTAGAATAAGGTCTTGGGGCCCATTATACTATAACATACTATAACTACTATATCCCCCAAATAGTATAGGACATTACTAAGTCCCCTATATTACCTTGCCCTGTGGAGTTTGGAACCCAATGGCCCAGATTTGGTTGGCCCAAGCGCATTTATCGAGTTGAGAACCGTGAAATGATGACTGGTCTGTCAGAATGCCAGTGAGGAGATACATGTGTTGCTGGGATTGAGTTGTTAACGCCCCCAAAACCCCCGCAGAGTCCCTCTATCAGTAAACTGCAAGCATACCCCCAGACCCTATTCTGAACCCTAAACCCTAGTCTAGCCATAATGGCTAGACTAGGGTTTAGGGTTGAAGCATCTGGCAAGAAAAAAACAATCTGGAAAACCACAAACCTCCGAGCACGACGGACCGAATCCCTGCAAAGCTTTCAAGTCGTACTATCGAGGCTGGAATAGCCAGGAGTATGTTTTGCTAGAGATTAGGATGTATTGCGTCAGTTACTATATAGTCTTGTCGCCAGAAAAGGCACAAAGCCCTCGAACTCAAATCCTCTGAAACCTTAAACCCAAGCTCAAGCAAAAACCCTAAACCCTAAACTCTGAACCGACATCGCAAACCCTTAACTTTCCCTAAACCCTAAACCCTAAATCCTAAACTCCTAAACCCTAAACCGTCACCACGCGGCGTAACGCAGGGAGCTCTGAAGCGATATACTCCGCAGAAGTTCCGTATCTACGCCCAGGAAGTCCCCGGTAAAGATCCTGGGGCTGAAACCCCCGACCCTTAAAGATCTCGTCTAGGGGACCCGTGTAAACCCTAACCCCTAATGTAGGGGCCTGAATAGTTAGAATAGGATTTTGGGGCTTATTAAAACTACGATAGAAATAATAAGGAAGACCACAATAGTATTGGCAATTATTTAGGTCCCTATAGTACCCTTAAAGATCCCGTCTAGTCTAGGGGAACCCTAAACCCAAACCCCGACCTTAAACCCCAAAGAACCTACCTGCTTACGGACGTATGTAAAAGACATCACAAAAGGTAGGGTTTTTCAGGGTCCGGAGGGCCGGTCGGCCTTTTGACTGTAGATTTGTGAGCTTCAAGGGGTTTTCTTGACGTGGCAGGGCTTGGTCTTGCGATGGAAGATTTTAGGCAGGGGTGGAGGTTCTTCGGCTTCTTCGGGTTTCAGAGCTATGACGAGCGCTGGGCTTTGGGGGGCTGTTGGGTTTCAGGGGTTTGGGGATTTCAGCGAGCTTCACTTTCATCGGGGCCTTCGGGAATGCTTGCTGCTTTTGTCCGGGGGTTCTTGGTGGTCCAGGATTCAGGGCTTGTTTAGGGTCCTTTTTCGGTCTTGGCTTGAAGGTTTAAGATCCATACGAGAGAGCGGTCGCAACGGGAGGCGTCGAGACGTGGGGCAGAACACAGGACAACCAAATCGCTACTTACTAGCCACACACAGTATAAGGGCATACCAATACCTAAACCCTAAAAACCCGAAATCCTAAACCCTAAACCCTCATACACACCCCCCAGCATGTCGGGGAAGCTCAGGACCTCAAGCCTGTGCTAATTCTGCGTTGTGCAATTCCACGTTTAGGGTCTGGGTTTAGGGTTTAGGGTTTCAGGTTTAGGGTAAGGGTTCAGAGTTCGCGGTCTGGCTCTTAGTGTACAAGCAGGGTTCTAGATGGGTTCCTCACGGTTCTCATACGGCTATAGAGGGAGTTACAGGTTCAGGGAGCTATAAGCAACTTAATCGGGAACATAAGACATAACTCTAGAAAACCTTGCGTGGGAGGTATGTAAGCCATGTACAACCGCTTGGAAGCTCCTGAGCAAGGTCTGAGTTCAGGGTTTAGGATGCTGTAGGGGTTTGAGGTTTAGGGTTCAGGATGTGTTAGGGATGTAGGGGTGTAGGGTTTCGCAGAAGTCCGAGACGCTTCTCGCGTCCCACCTGGCTTCCTTCACTGACACTTTGTTCCTCGCTGTTCGCCATGCTCCTGCTTGAGAGAGTCTTGGGGCCTGAGAGACTCCATCAGGGTACTCTAGGGGCCTTCATAATTAGTAATAATTAGAATAAGATTTTGGGGTATACTCTGCTAAAATTTTAATAGGGGTACCCTTTCTCCAACATGTTCTGTCATCTGTAGATATTTATCGTAACAGTAAGAAGGGAGGGTGTCTTAAACTGCCTAAAGCAAATCCACTCGATTTAGGGTTTAGGTTCCCTTAATAGTTTGCATGTAGAACACTAATTAAGCTCACACAAGCTAGGCAAAAGAGCATTGAGATCCCACAGACCCATGGGAGATGTGTCCAGAAGCATGCACAGAAGACAAAGCCTGGGGGCCCGAAACCCAAAAAATGCACACCCCTAAACTCCAAACTCAAAATTTGGATCCCCTAGCAACCCAGAAAGCTGAGAAAACACCTCAACACACCCCGACCGCCATGAAGCTTATGCACGGTACGGCTTGCGGCTTGTGGAGTGCCATAACGACGCAACGTACGCCCTGAGTATTCAACCCCGTCCTTTCTTGCGGGCTTTAACATGATCATGAGGATCTCTTTTGTGAGATGTCTGGAATTATTACGCAGGAGTGTACATGAAGCTGACCTTCTCATCTTCAAGCAAACTCAACCCAAAACTCCAAACAGCAACGCGGGATCACCAGAGAGTCACAGGCCTAAGGAACCCCGATACCGAGCCTAAGCAGTCTGATCCTGGTTTCACGGAACGCCACATACGGCACCGCTAGCCGCTAGTTTGAAAGAACCTGCAGATGCACCCCTGAACTCTAATTTCTATAGACCCTAAACCCTATACCCCGGATTCGTTGAAGTGGATTTTGTCGAAAACCTTGCGTCTTACATCCCCGTCATTGATTGCACGTACCCATGACAACACGACAGCGCCCGAAACGATTCTGTGGTGCCCGAAATCGGTAGAGGAGGTATCAGAGTAGAGGTTTGAACACGGTTAACGCTGACGTAAGATGTCTGATGAGTCTTTTGGCGAGCACACAAAACTGAACTGTTTAGGCTGTTGAAGCCTAATCTTGAAACCTTACACCCCAAACCCTAAACCAACCCTAAACTCTACTCTACACTTCGAACCCCTGCATCTCTCCTGGGTCCACTGCCGGGCCCGCCCGAAGATGAGTTATCCTGCTCAAGCTTTGGGTTTAGGGTTTAGGGTTTGGGGATGTTTCGAGGTTTAGAGTTTAAGAACTTAGGGTTTAGGGTTTAGGGTTCTTGGTGCTTCAGACAAAAACTTGAGCAACAATCTTCACAGAGATTGCCTGACAACGGGCCAGAATAGTTCCATCCGATATGACCTTGACAGATCAAATCTTCAGGCCTCCTCATTACCCATCAAAAAATGTATTTTCGACCCAAAAGCCCAAAACCCTACTGTTACAGAAGACGTGTATAGAACCGTTGCTTCTATTCTTGTCATAGGACTGTTTGAAGAGCCTTTGTAATTCATACATTCCCGACACCCGCCAACCCTCACACCCCAAATCCCAAACGTACCCCTAGGCACCAAAACCATAAAGCCCGAAGAACCCCCGTATTGAGGTAATATCGCCTAGATACAGACAAAGGAAGCCCGAACTAAACCCTTAAGGCCCCTGTATAGGGAACCCTGTAGTGCCCTGAAAAGGAACCCTCTAGTGCCTCATAGTACACTTAAAGGCAAGCCTCTAGTACCTTATGGTACCCTTCAAGGGAAGCCTCTAGGTAGTTATAAGTGGGGTTATAAGTCCCGTAGTATGGCTTCTAAGCATAGTTACCCTACTTATAACACTACGTCTACCTACCCATGAACCTCCAAGTAGTACCTGTATAGGCACCTTACAGTACCCTTACAGGGAAGCCTCCAAGACCTTTCTAGGCAGCGTTTCTCTTCCTGCCTGGTCCCTCGGCACGCTTGCAGAGCTTGTGGAGGAAGCCCAGCCTTGCACCGCCTTCCTCAGTTTCATAAGGACCCTTAGAGGGGTAGGGGTGTAGGGTTTAGGGTTCAGGGTTTGGGGAAGGGGGTAGGGGGCCTTAATATCCAGAACAAGGACTTAATAAGGACAAGGGTCCCTATGATCAGTCAGGAACAGGCAGAGTGTAGGGGTTTAGGACGGTTTAAGGCTTAGCGGTGTTAGGGGTTTATGGCCTTCCTCAGTGACGAACAAGCAGACCCCAGGGGTTTAGGGCTTGGGGGTTTGGAGCCAGTGTTCTCCATTATGCCATTTCCTGACTTCCCACAGAGAGTATACATAATCTCTGAGACTGAAGCCCGAAACCATACAACACAACAACTAACATAAATGTCTCGTGGCTGGCCGTATATTCACATGTGAGACTATAGCAACAGAGCACCTCTAACAAAGTCGCTAATCTCCGGCTCTTAACCCTGCACCTGAAAATCCCTACTCTCCAATTCCTACACCCCAAGGCATCGCGCGCTAAGCCGGCCACCAATTTTGCCAGATTGTGACGGTGATGGCCTTTGGCTGTGAAGCGTCGCCCCGGTAAGTTACGGTTCTGTTCTAGGTTGAGCTGGGTTTAAGGTTTAGGGCTCTGTTTTAGGTTAAGCTGATTCTTGTGAAGGAGGGTTTGGGGTTTAGGGTCCAGTGAACGTACTACCTTTCTGTAAGTTAACCTGTTTTGTGGCGAATATGCCGTAGAAAACAGACTAAGCTAACAACTAGCTTAGGTTTAAGCTAAGACCCTGAAACCTCAAGGTCCAGTTATGGTCCCCTGCAGGACCGTTTCTAATTCCAGACCACCCCTTGAACCCAACACCTTAAACCCTAAAACCAAAACACGATACTATAGGGGCCGCAACAATTACCCATACTATTATTGTGGGGTTCCTTACTATAGCTATGGTATGACATATCTCACAACGCTAGTCTAATCATTAAGGCCTCTAAAGAATTAGCTGGCGCAGGGGAGCCTCAGCAGCTTCCCTCGTTGGACTCGTTGGACTCTGCTGCTTCGGCGTCGGCACGCTGGCTGTAGGGCTTGCCTCGGTGTTATGCATATGGGCGGTTGTCAAAATTAGGGTCCCTTTTTGAGTCCGTATTCTAATACGGCACCTGTTGTTTAGAATGCTCAAAAAGGGACCCTAATTTTGACAACTACCCATATAAGAATTAAAATTGGGTGTGAGGAGGCAGATGGTACTTGCGACCGCATTGTCGAAAGTAGGGGACAATAATCTAGTACCCTAACAAGGACCCCAAAATAAGGTACCCCTGATTTTCCAAAACCCCATATAAGAGTCGGGTCTACAGCATGGTTGTAGGAGGCTGCGGCTTAAGCCTCTGGCCCAGGTCGTTTTATCGAGCTTAGGAAAATTACAAGGTTTGGTAACGGTTGGATAATGAGGGCTTTGTAAGAGCATTTAGGGTTCACGAGTGTAAGTATGATTCGTTTTTACGAATTTACCACAGACGATTACATTAGTATTCTTATTCCGGTTCAATATGTTAAGAAAGAATGAAAATGGCATTTGGTCCTATGGAAGATAGGGTTTAGTGCTTTGGGGCTTTACGGTTCAAGTTTCAGGGTTGCTTAGTCAGGGTCATGTCGAGCGAAAGTTTCGTTTCAGTGGTTTGGTGCGCGTAGGGGTCGTAGCGTTCATGCTAAGACGACCCTAGGCCGTAGACGAATCCTAAGACCCCACATTACCCTGTCCCATATCTTCCATCAGTCCGCCCACCCTACAGCCCCGAAAAGATGCATTCAGAGCATGGCATTCGGACCTGTTGCCCGAGGCCCTGCTGGTTGGGTATGGATCCAGTGCATTGCAAGAGATGCTCCTCTGAAATCATCGAAATGCACATCCCAACTGTCGCGCGACAATCTGCCGTATAGCCTAAACCCAAAACCCTAAACCTCGCAGGTATTGAAGCCCTCCAAGAACCACATATTGGAACCGCAGAAAACTCTCATAGCCCTTGTGAACACCATATGGCTCACTGAAACTCCACCTAACACGTTAAAGCCCTCAAGCCAAAACCCGAAACTGCCACAACTGCCCAACGCACCAGAAGCCAAAACTCTGAAACGTCCAAAGCCCTAAAACCATAAACGATGTCGAAACCCCGAGCCCGAACACCTAGAATCACAAACCCCGAAACCCTAAACCTTTCAGCACAGTAATCTTGCAGAATACTGAAAGGAAGCCCTACAACCCTGAAGCCCTGAAACGCATGAAAACCCCAAGCCCCAAAACCCCTTAAGTGCGCCCATAAAGGCGGCCCTTAAAGGAACCCCGTAGCCGGGCCACTGGTGCACTATCCTGGCGAGCCCGTTCCTGCCAAGCGAAAACAGTCGGCTAAGGATTTGGGGTTTAGGGTTCAAAGGGTTTAGGGTTAGAAGGGTGTAGGGCTCAAAGGGTTTAGGGTTTAGGGCTCAAAGGGTTCAGGCTGAAAGGGTTTTGGGTTTACGGCTAACAGGGCCTTTGACGATTGTACTGTTTCTTATCTCCTCTGGCTTTTGTCGCCTGAAAGTTGCTGCTGTTTAGGCTTTTGGTTTAGAGTTTAAGGTTCTACTTGCGAACATCTCTATTTTTGTGGGGGTCTGGGTTCAGGGTTCGATACTCCTGGTTAACGACGAAAGGGCCCGCGTTTACAGAAAATGCCTTGGATAGGGTTCAGTGATACGCTTCCGCATGTGGTTAATCAAAAGAATCTCGTTCAGGGTCCAAGACCAGTTTAGGGCCTAATGCAGATCTCTGTTTAACGCCACACCCCTGACGACCGGACCTCGCCATATGATAAGGATTCAGTGCGTTCGAAGTACCAGTCACTATCAGCGATCCAGTTCTGCTCTTCTCGTTGGCAAGAAAATACGGTAGTTCTTAAACAATACCTGTCCCGAAATTTCACGCAAAGTAAATTCCTCTGTTGGTCAGGATCGATCACTAAGAAAGCGTATCCCGCATGATTCTTCGACTTTCAAGGAAGTTCCTACAACATCCAAACAAGAGTTGCCTCGAGCTTAACGTTTAATCAAGTTTAATCAGGCAGCCCGGCAGCCATTGTATTTTGGAAACCCCCAGAAAGCTGGAAGAAGCACGGATGCAAGAGATCAGTGGGGAGGGGGCAGGGATGACCGACAAGTTACCGAGTACAGCATTTAAAAGTGGGGGCCCTGAAGATCAACACCGCAGCCACGACTTCGCAATCCTACAGCTGCGATACCCTCTGCCTCAACGACCCATACCCCACAGCCCAATCAACATCGACAAGGTACCCAAAAGCTGGCCATCGACCGGTCCTCAGCAAATCTTTTTGCGGGAGTGCTGCTTGCACACAGGGTTTCAATAGCAGCGACAGGGTAGTCAAATCAACACCATCACGACAGGCAGAACCATGGCCATCACTGTGAACATGCTTTACAATGCTCATCGCTGCTGCCTTCATGTTCGTCGTCGTCGCTGCCATCGCACCCTGCATCCTTGATGCACCGTGCACAGTGGGAGGTCGTCAGCATTGTCCTCCACCTCGTCCTCCCAACATCAAACCACCATCATCATCATAAAGCACTGTTTCGTTATGCATCATCACATTCATTGCAGCGGCAGTTAGCACCTTGTTGTCACGCAGATTTACATACATATGTACACGTCTTCGCGCACACCAGGGTAAAGCTCCAGCAAAGCCATGCAACGACCGAAAGCGCGGCCAGGACAAAATCAAACCCAATAAAGAAGCAGTCTTACTTTTTAGGGCTTTCGATTTAGGATCTTGGGGGACAGTTTTCGTGGGTTTAGGGTTTTCATGGTTTAGAGACGAGAATTTGGGATTTAGGGATACTATTCTTGAGGGTTGCTGGTTACAGTTACATTAAAACTATGTACACCGAAACCCTATTCTATAGCTGCTTCCGAAGAATCCAGCACCAAGGCGTGGGTACTCAGGCTTAGGGTACTAACAACCACCGGTGGCTCCAATTTCTGAGATACTATTCTGTGGGTCATACCTTCCGGTGTTGCAGATCAGAACGGCCGAACCTCAGCAGCGAAATTTCAGTACTTAGACGAGTATACAGTAAACTATATTGAGCTACTTGGACCCGGGGAATCTTCTAAATCCAGGGCCAGGGCCAAGAGTTTAGCGTTTCGGGACAAGGAGCAGATCGAGTTTTCTCCACAGACGTGTAGTTCGTCGCCGACTTTGGCATACTCACATGAACGTCCTGAAAAGGTGGTCCGGAGTTCGGGTTTATAGGATTCCGTGTGAGGGTCTCACAGGAAGGTTCCGACTATCCTTCCAAAGTCGTGAGACGGCCATGGCAGGACTAAGACTCCGTTCATGTTTGAAGAAGACGTCGAGATTAGAAACAGTATGCTTCCGAATCCAAGAGAAAGCTAGCACCCTGAGCGAAGCGTGTGAGCAGCAACAAGCTTACTCAACATGCCGGACTTCAAGTCAGAGTGCCATGATTCCTGAATTCTCGGGTGATTGCGGAGGGGTTTTTTTCCCATAGATATTGCCATTGCGCGTCGGATCCAAAGACACTGATGGCAAAATGTGTTGCGTCTCTATTAAACGAGGGACTTTAACTTTTGATGATCGATTCCCCATCTAAGTTACCCAAACCCTAAACCCTAACTAGCAGACCGTTTACGGGCGTAGGCTTGGCTCTTGAACGAAACATGCAAAGTGTCGGCGGGGGAGCGGACACCAAAGGACACCATCCAAGAAAGTGTGCTTCAACCAGGGAGAGCTGCCCGACAAGGAATAGAGGAGCTAAGATACAGCTCTACATAATCCCTAAGAGGGATCCCTTCTTCTTCGAAAATTGCAAATGGACTAGAGGTTGCGGCTGCGATGGTTTGCAGAGAAGCTTGGACCTGCAGTTGCCTCTTCCTAGTTACAGACTTTCCGGATCCAACGGTTAAACTTGGTAAGTATGGCAGAAAAAATTTAAAGTGTATGCATACGTGTGTGCGTATATATATATATATATAAATATATATATATATATATATATATATATATATTCACACACGCACATACCCTGAGGGCATTAGGATATACAGAAACAACCCACCATACAGCCAACACTATATGACCTCAGTGCAGGCCGCAGTCTATACCCTCAAAACCATGAGCCCTGAAGCTTTGGCAATATGGTAGTCTACAAGCCTCAAGCCCAAATAACATCACCCAGGCCTGTACATTCAACCCTAACCTAACTATTGGGTCCTTCTTGTCCACTGGCATATCGGGTTCCACATCGTCCCAATCGTCTTCAATGCGTCTCATGTCCTTCGATCTGACTTAAGATGGAAAACCGGGTTGAGGATTTAGGTTTTGAGGTTTAGGGATTTAGGAAACCGGCGCATTTTTAGTCGCGGTTGCTTTCGGGAAACCAGATAATACAGGGGCCGAAAAATGTACCTATACTATTTTGGGGGGTCCCTCATTATACTTGTAGTATAATGGGCCCCAAAACCCTATTCTAGTTATTAAGGCCCCTATAGTAGAGACACCGGCATAATTTTCGTGGCGGTTGCTTTCGGGAAACCGGAAATCAACAATCGAAGCCCTAAGCCTATCCTTCCAAGGACCTCATAGTTAGGAGGGCCCTACACCCCGTAGGGACCCCATAATGAGGTCCCTGGAGGCATAGGGTCAATCATTACTCCAGATCCGAGAAGCTGTGATCTCCCCCATGGCTCTCACAGGAAAGTTCCACAGACAGTGTGGATCTCAGGTTCTGGGTTTAAGAGGTTTCAGGGCTTGTATGAGGGTTCTGGTTTCCTTCCGTGTTGAGCATTCGGGCTGAGGGTTCTCGTTAGCGTGGCGAAAAGTTTCGGACTTCGGGGCTGTAGGGTTGTCCCTTAGGGAGTAGCGCTCTGAGTCTTTGAGCTCTATAAACTCGCAAGCCAACACGCCAGACACCCATTGAGCCCCAAGGCGTACACCCGAAAGCCTAAACTCACCACCCTTAGGCCCTAAATCCCGAAGATCAGGTTCCGACTGGCACAGTCGGAGGCCCTGTGCTGTCCCCTCAGCAGCTCCCTCCGGGAGCGCTAGGAGAGGCAGCGGCCTACTTCGGACCCTTCAAGAGCAAAGAGCAGCGGACATTCAGGGCTCCGATGGTTTAAGGTTAGAGGGTTTAGGAAGTTTCGGGGTTGAATTAGGTTTCAGGAATCAGGGCTGAGGGCCTGGGATATTGAAGCGCGAGGCCTTTGTCAGGGCTATGGGGTTTATCAAGATGAAGGGCGGTAGGGGAGCACGTGCGGCTTTGAGAGTGGGGTTTCCTTTCGTAAATCCTGCGAGTACCCTTCTAAAGCCCTTACAAGACTCGTAGAGAACCCTGTGGACCCCTAGGGGTGCCCCTCTAGAAACCAATACGGCGCCGAAGTTGGAGACCTCCTGCTATGCTGACCAAGTCTAGCTTGAAATGCACATGAAAAGATTTAGGCCTACTGTAACCCTATGCCTCCAGGGACCTTATGGGGTCCTTAAGGGGTCTAGGGCCCTAGCTATGAGGTCCTTGGAAGGATAGGGTAAGGGCTTGGGGTCTAATATGAAGAGCAGCTTTTTGTGCACCTTTAGCAGGTTCTGCGTACTGGCAGTCTATAAGGAGTCTCAGAAAACTGACCCGGAGGACCCAGAGACAAGGTTTCTGATCCCCAGTAGTATACTCTGGACAACTCCAAAACCCCACAGTACAATGTAAGCTATATACATACATCTACATCTGCAAACCCGTACAAAGTACTGATAAATATCTATAGTGACGCCTGAGCAAACTGCCTCTGTGAAGGGTTCGATAGTTCCAGCTTAAGGTTTAGCAGTTACTGTGGCTATTCAGAAAGAAGTAATCGGCGGGGTGTCCGATCAACAAGCTCGTCTAAGTTTAACCCTATCCCTCCAAGGACCTCATAGTTAGGGCCCTAGACCCCTTAAGCCCTTAAGGACCCCATAATAAGGTCCTGGAGGCATAGGGTAAGGTCTAAGCGAAAACTTTGCAGTTCTGGGTGGGGGTTTAGAGCTTCAGGCTTTAGGTTGGATGCAGGGCTGGTGTCTGGCGCTTTTTCTCGCTAATCACATCGCATCTGCCTTGGCCCAGAGAACACGGCCTCCTCCCAAACCCACCAGCCCAGTTGTTTCATTCTGAACCCTTAATGCTCAGACACTGACACCCAATGGCTTTCGATGCATTCCACAAACTAAGGCTTGTTGGGTTCCCTGGGGTGACATCGCGCCACTTTGGACGTGCGGCGGTCAACGACCTAAGATAGGTACTGAGGGCTTCCGAATCCAAGGATTTTGGGGGCTTCGAGTTCAAACTTCACTTTCAATTATCGCGACAGCCAGACGGAATTAGGGAGTAAGGCCGCAAATCATGGCCTTATTCAGTCTCGTAATCCTTTTAAGTATCTTCGGACCTGCAGCCCAAAGCCCTGAAGCCTCAAACCTAACCTCCTGAGTCTGAAACCATTGACCCAAACACCTACAATCCGAAATGTATGCTGTTGTGTTTACAACAGCACCTGTGGAGTATACAACACAGTACTGCGGCTTTGCATGCACACAGTGGTGGACGACTGAAGCACTGCTGCGGTATGCTTAAGTTCGGCTTCCTTGCAGAGATGTTGAGAAGGCTGCTTCACCATGACCAGTCCCTGAACCTCAGACTCAGACCCACAAAAAAAAGGCTTCGGCAAATGTCCGATGCCTAAATCCTAAACCCTAAACCTCAACCATGATGGCCGTTTGCTGTTAGAGCAGAAGCGAAGCACTAACCTAAAGCTGACCCCTCGCGAAAAAAGGGAGAATTTTCAGGCCGCGCCATCACGAGGCGCAAGACGGGCTTTACGGTCAGGGTTTTATGGGCTTAGGGGCGTGAACCCTACCTAGAGGCTCATACCCTACCCCTTTTTTAGGATACCTAGTCTTATGGTTAGGATCTGATATATAGAGTCTTAGGTGCTTTGGGGGTGGGTAGGGTATGAGCCTCTAGGTAGAGAGCCCTGAAGACGACTTAGGTTGTAAAAGGGTGTTGCGGGTGGGTTTAAAGTCTTCTTGGCTCATTTTAGTTGAACCCTTACGGGTTCAGGGTTTACCCTGAACTACTCAAACTAGCAACAAGCTGTCGAACGACTCCAACATCGAAGGCTGCACGGTCACAACCCTGAAACACGTTTCCTGAAAGCGATGTAGAATCTAGAACCGTTACAGGGTTTCTTGAAGAGATCTATCACGGTTCGTTGTACAGCTTTCCTGCAATGAATAGTGGTTACTCAGACACCCTATATTACACCCTACAGCCACTCCAGCTTCACATTTTGCACCAAGCACCTGACGAGGCTCGCTCATGTACTTGGTCAATAGAGCGAACAGTGTTGTGGATAGGCCACACAACTCACACGTACATATGCATGCATACAGTATGCATATATGCGCCATCATGTATGCAACTGTATACTACAGGAAGAAGATGTGCTTGCAATATGGCTGGTTGACTTTTCGTTGTCGCTGGGCTTTGATTTCACTGGATGTGGTCCTGCGGGTTAATCAGAAGCTTAAGCCGTCTGCTTGCTGGTCCAGGGCAGGTGTTACCTGTTTTTTGGTTCAGAGTGATGTGTCTCAACCCCATCTTTGCCAAGCTCGGGAATCAGGGTTTGGGGGCCATGGGGTTAACCGTCGGGGACTAAGCTGTCGCACTCCCGAAAACCCCACGGCCCTAAGCTACGAATCCTCAAGGCCAAACTCCGAACCCCCAAAGCTGTGCATGACCTCCAAAAGGTCAATACATGCTGCTACAGTGTGTTGAAGAGGCAGGCTGCTACGTTCTCTACGACGACTTCGACAGTCTGTGGTGCTGCAGGGCACTTTTCAGACCAGGCCGCAAAGAAGAACGCAAGCCCCGAGAGCTTGTGCTCCACGCACTAACCCCAAACCACCATACCCAAAGGCCCCAAAGCGGTTCCTTTTAGGGGTTCGTGTATAGAATCCTATAAAGTCATCCAAAAAAGGAACTACTTTGGGGCCTACTTTGGGGCTTCTGGGAAGCCCCCAAGCCTCGACCCTGAAACCTCAGCCAAAGGGCGAGTCGGGCAAAACACCCGGACCGCATCGCTCGAGGCGCCGTCCATCGAAGTTGGCGACGATCTGCCGTGCCACCTTTTGGGCTAATCGTGTCGGGATCTGGGATGCTCACAAAAAAGCGATTGAAAGACTGTTCGCTACTGCTACTACTGATACGACTACGACTACGACTACGACTACGACTACGACTACGACTACTACTACTACTACTACTACTACTACTACTACCACTACCACTACCACTACCACTACCACTACCACTACCACTACCACTACCACTACCACTACTACTACTACTACTACTACTACTGCTACTACTACTACTACTACTACTACTACTACTACTACTACTACTACTAGTACTACCACTACTACTAGTACTACTACTACTACTACTACTACTACTACTACTACTACTACTACTACTACTACTACTACTCCTGCTACTACTATTACGACGACGACGACGACGACGACTACTACTACTACTACTACACTACTACTATTACTATTACTACTGCTACTAGTACTGCGGTGGGACGAACTCCTTGTTTCGTCGAACACAGGCCCCCATTCCCCCATAGAATCCTAACAAGCAGGACCAACCGGCTACTCCTCCGGAACATTAAAGCAGTATAATTTCAAAACAGGGTATAAAATGCTCCGCTGGCCAGGCCACGTAAATCGCACTTTTCGGTACTCCGCTACTCCGCAAGACGTCTTAAGACAAGACAGATCCAGTAGGTCAAAACTTTTGTCCTCCCGATGTACTACTACTACTACTACTACTACTACTACTACTACTACTACTACTACTACTACTACTACTACTACTAATACTACTACTACTACTACTACACCACTACCACTACTGAGCCCAAGACGACCGAAACACAAAATGCGCAGACGGAAAGCCTCTTCGCTAGTGATTGATGTTCGAGCCCTGAACCCTGTAGAGTTTCGCGATCAGTGTCTAAGTGTCAAGGCATATTTTCTGACGTTTATCGGAAACTGCCTGGGGAGACATCGCAGTAACATAGCAGTGGTGCTCCTGAAGGCAGCCGTTGCTTAAGCCATTGGCCCATGGATTGATAGAGTCGTGGCACAAACATACCTATATCAGTATATATATATATATATATATATGTATATGTACACACACACACACACGTGTGCGTACGTATGAATACACACAAGTACAGAAATAGATACTGGCATATCTGTATATGTATACTGTATACTGTATACGTATGTGTCTGTGCGCGCATACATGTACATATATGCATATTTATATATATATATATATATATATATATATATATACATATATATATATATATATATATATGTATATATATATATATATATATATATATATACAAGCACAGGGATCTATACATCTACATCAAATATTTATATATATATATATATATATATATAAGAATGAACATGCATCTGTATAAATACATAAGTCTATACATACACATGCCTGTGCATAAACATGTCCGTGCACACGTACATATGCACACCCTACGACCCTAGAATCCAGAGCTGTGAGAGGCCGGGAGCTTCTTGGAAGCTCCTGGGTGCTGGGCCTATGGCGTACCTGGGCCCTCGAAACCCTACCTTTTCGGGTTTCTTTGTTGATTTCCTTAGATAAATCCTCGAAAACGTAGGTAGGATGTTTGGGTGCTTGTAAGGTAAGCCCTAAACCTAAGAACTGAGGAGTTTCAGAAAATCAAGCCAGCTGCAGCCTAAACGCAGACTGACAGCTTTCACAGAGAACTGGCTAGATTTAGGGTGTAGGGTTTAAGAGTCTTTCAAGGGTCCTTGAAAAGGGCTCCATAAGCATTCTATAGAGGATTGAGGGCTGTAGGTCTGAATAGGTCTAGTCTCTCGTTTCCTTTATTGTTCGAGGCCCCTGCATCATGTGTTGCAATGAAAGAAGTTCGGGGCTTGCAGCAGTGTGTGAGCACAAGGGACTCAGGGTAACAGTTAAGGTTTAGGGTTACAAGGACTTGCTTGACAGACTTTCATACCGACAAACCGGGAGCCCTCTCTGCTGCAAGGTCCTGCGGATCGTAGACCACGCCGCTGCAGTTGTCACCGACACTGAAACCCTCCTCCTCCAACTCCTCCTTTTGAATGACAGGAGGCAGCTGTGGTAGGATTGGTCAGGCAGCAACTGCATCTAATAGTTGGGGGTTTGATAGTTAACATAGAATTTGGGGGCAGCTATACTATAGATTTAACAAACGGACCCCCGAAAATAGTGTAGGTAAGTATTAAGGCCCCTATACTATGGATCTAGGACTTCGCCTGAAGCTCAGGTGCCAAGCTCATGCGATCGGCTTCTTTGAACGATTATAGATCCTCGAGCACGGTCCCGGCAGCTAAAAATAGTCTGAGCAAGTATTGTAGCGGCCTGACCCTGAACGCGGCATCCTAAGCTGCAACCTAGTGGAGACACCTGAAAACCAGCAAGATGATCCTCGTACAGTTGTATGTGTACCCTGATATACTCGCAAACCATATTGCTGCGATCACACAGTCCCCTTCCCTTCCGGCCTTCATGAGGGCCGAAGTATAGCCCTCCGGGACGTTGCGAAACCGCAGACGCACAGTCTCCGGATTCGCCGCCACTAGCTGCAACTTGTCTTCCTGATGCTGTAAGGGCTCCTCCTCATGGTTGTTGGGCTTAGCGTTGATGAACCTTAGGGCTTATAGGGTGTAAGATTTCGGGTTCAGGGCTTCGGCTTCAAAGTCTGCTTTACCATAGAGTGTTGGGGAATTTGGTATGTTTACTACGGGGACTATAGGGCGATATCAGAACTTCCTTTACCGAGCCCTCACTCTATAATGTTCTTCGGTGTAACCCCCTTCAACCCTGGCACCGAGGAACGGCTAGATCCTGTCGCACTGTACTATAAAATCTTATAGGAACCTTAACAAAAAGAGCAGGATTTTGAGGTATGTTGTAGCATGTCTGATAAGGATCCACAACGAACAGTACTGCTAATTCTTCAGCCGTCAATGCTAATCTCGGACCCCAACACTCGCAGACTTCTGTCCTGACAGCAGACTTGCACCAAGTCTGGGTCGTCCAAGCAGAATCGCCCAGTCAAGCTACTATCGGGGCCGGAAAATTCACCAAGATTGTTCCTAGGGCGCTAGGGTCCCTTCTAACACTTATGTTCGAACAATGTACTTCAAAACCAAGTCGAATAATTCAGGCCGGTCCACTACCTCGGAAGGACACTTCACGTCCAGCCGAGCAGCAGGCACAGCCACACGCTGCGTTTCTGAATCGGCCTCTCCCTGCATGGCTTCCGAGGAAGGTTTAGGGTCTAATATAGGAGCCTTAATAATTAGAATTGAGTTCCTTTGAGGGCTACTTTTCGGGTTTAATTTTGGGTTTTGGGTCCCATTATACTAGAAGTAGAATAAGGAACCCCGAAAATTGTATAGGTTACTATTAAGGCCCCTTTTGTAGGGTTTTGGGTTTGGGGTTAAGGGCTTTGTCTTACAGCAGGCATTCAGCGATTGCATGGCCTGTGGTAGACCTGCAATCTGCAGTGTCTTCTCCAAACTCTTGAACATGTGTGGCCAGTGTCCATCAATTCTTGCATAGGAAATAAAGCCGTCATGCACTGTGCGAACTTGTGTTGAGACTGACTGCTCAATGTTGTGTTTGCGGTCTATGTTTTCTATCAACAGTCACTACGGCCGTTGCCATGTTTGTCAGTCTACAGGGTCCCCTTCAGCCCTCGAGAAGCTGCTTCTAGATTGTCTCGCAGCACCCAACCCCCAAAACCCATAACCAAGATGAGGGTTTGGCAAGGCCTACAGAGACTGATATGGACGACAGGCTGTTCTTGAGTAAGGCCGCAGTAGCGTTTTGAGTTTTCAGGATCCCACGTTGCCAGAAATAAACCTCGAACCTGTACTCTGATACTTGGGTCCTAAGCTAGAATAGAATGTGCCGATTTTTTGCGCGTGCAAGGGCTATAACAAACACGATTTCATTAACCTACGAAATAAAGGTCTAGGGTTTAAAGGGTTTAGTAGGAGTATAGGCACCACAATACCCACATAACCAAGCTCAGAACACACCAACCCGGAATGCGCCTCCTGTAGGGGTTTTGCAAAAATCAGAATTTGGTTTTGAAGTATATTACAGTGCAACCATGGAACTATAAATAAATGCTATTAGGAAGTATTCCGACCCGTATACCGCACACCCGTCCACCCGAAAATGCAGAACGTTAGACCATTAAAATCGAACAGTCCTCACGGCCACTCGCACGAAACTCATGGAAACACGCAGAACCATAGAAGTGCTGTAAAGTATCATACAAGGTTCCTCCACATGACTGAATAGAACGACTAAGAGGTCGAAGCCTTAGCATCGAGGAAGAGGACCACCCATCGGAGTGGCTTGCTTGCAGGGGCAGTCAGCACTCCTGGATTCGAAACTTTTCAGGGCTTTAAGGTTTAGGTTTAGGGTTAAGGATTGCCAGGATCACCACCGATCGAAGGAGTGCAACCTTTTATTAATCATGGCAGAGTTCTCCGCGGCACACAACTTCCGATGTTATTGAGGAATGCAATACTCGATATTCGGCGCTTCGTGCGGGACACAGCAGGTCCTCTTGGCAGCAGCATGGACATAGATCAGACTAGTGCGCAGTTACCTAGTCTACAGAAACGGCTCTTCTGAAGCAAGTACGGAGGCTCATGCACCCAGCGCACGTGCTGTAGAACAAAACAATAGCAATTACAGAAACTATTTCTGAAATACCTTTCTTAACAACCTACGCGAGTTCTACAACAAAGAGCCCATAAGCCCCTGCAGCCGTTACCCCTACGTCCGAAAAGTAAGTCCGACTCCTAGAATGAAGTCGACACCTTGTCGGTCATTCAGATGCACCGACTTCTCCAAGCCGCGTACCTGGCTCGAGAAGAGCTCGGAAATGCCTGAACGTCTTTTGTCATTTGCACTACGGTGATCAAGCCTAGAGTCGTAATGTGATGAAAGTGCTTGGGCATGCACGAACGCAATAGTGGTAATCATCGTCGTCATCCTCACTATCCCTATCCACAGCATGATCACCGTAACCCGAGAAAAGCTTCATGATGATGATGGTGGTGATGGTGGGGGTCATCCTCTCATCTTCATCATCGTCGTCAACATCATCATCATCATCATCATCACCATCATCATCATCATCGACTTGCAACCTCTGTAAGAAGACCGGACCGCTACAATCACGAAAACAACCGGGCCAGTACAGGATCACTCAAAAATTACAAAAGCTTTGCAATCCTACCCAACCCTTCAACATCCGCTGTAGAGCAAGAGGCAACGATCCTAGACCATCAGTAATGACCCCTGACCCTGGAACCCTGAAATTCTCAAGCCTATGACCGTAAAATCCTAAAAAACTCAAAAGCCTAAACTCTAACACCACAAGCCATGAAGCCCCCAAAATCATCTGAGTCCCGAGCCTCCACCAGCGCACCAATGCCGAGCTTACAGCTTCGAGGCGCAGAGCGGGAGCGACTCCTCCAGACATATATATATATATACACACATATATATATATATATACATAACATTATGTTATATACACATATGTGTCTAATGCAGATTTATGCATAATGTTGACCCCTGAATAATAACCCCCCCCCCCCCCGCCCCCCCCCCTCAAGGTTGTTAAGGTCGCAGGCCCCCCACAGGATCACAGACCCCCAAATAATCCCGTGAAGCCAAATTGCAGTAAACAGTGGTGCTAGTAGTAGTAGTCGTAGTAGCAGCAGTAGTAGCAGTGGCAGTAGCAGTAGCAGTAGCAGTGCCACAGGAGTTTGATTAATCGTGGGACGTTGATTAATCGTGGGTGACACACGATTGCTGGGGATAGCTCAAAAAGCTTGTTTCGGGGCTTGGAACGACACAGCAAGTAGTGTTGAAATCACCACTTTGGAGGATTAAAACGTGAAGCGGTTTTGGGGCCAATGAGGTTTCAAGTTTAATATCGGGGAAGGGTTTAGGCCTAGACCAAGTCTTGCCCCCTTTAAAAGTAGTCTTCGAAGCACTTTTTGAAATTTTAGATCCCCAGACGGTGTTGCCTTTAATCGTGGGGGTTTCTGCAAAAAACGATCCTTATTTGGGTGCTGCCTTTAAAGTAGTACAGATTGGGGCCAGCCGCCCGCAGGCCGCCTTTAATCGTAGGGGGATTATTAATCCTAGGTCAAAGTTAATCAAAGCTTTCTTAAGGGTCCGTATAGGAGTTTAGGGTTTAGGGTGCACGGCATAAATACATACGTTTGAGGTGAATATGGGCCCTGATGATTCGAACAGGGTTTCGGCGTATATTATGGCGTAGGTATACTTAGCAACCCGAAGGAATTCCTCTCGGTAAATATTCCAAATACTCCGTCGTACATACATATATACATACACCATCACATCGCATTGTTTTGCTTTATACATTCCTCTGCCATCGTATGTCACAGAGGAGTACATACAGCATACATACACACATACACGCCTACACACATGCATACATACAGACGACTCCGACAGACAGGCAGGCAGACATGCAGATCTACATGCAAGGTTCAGGGTTCCTGGAAGGGTTCTTAGAAGGGTTTGTGGTTTTGAGTCTAGGGTCTAAAGTTTAGGGGTTGTGGTTGTAGGGCTTGTGGGGTGCAGGCTGCATCTGTTCTCAATGAGGGCAAGTGCAGTTTCTGCAGTTGGATTGTTTGCATGGTGGAAAAAGACAGCGTCTGGAACAAGGGTACGGTATAGAGTTGAAGACGTGTGGTTTGGAAGGTAACGCGCGAGTTTGGGGTTCATAGAGGAGCTGGAAGACTAAGAGAGTTTGTTAGCTGAGGGCACACACTGCTTGGGGACTTTCGGATTCGGTGACTTGGGTTCCAAGGCTTTGTATTGGTGGTGTGTGGTTGGCGGCTTCGACCCTTTCCCTCGAATCCAAACCCTAAAATCTGAACCTGAGGGTTGGAGGTCGGCTTAGGCTTTCATTAGGTGGTTCAGGGTTCAGGGTTTCGGGTTCAGGCCCTGGGATGTGGCATTCGGAGCACTACGACGCCTGCTCACGCAGTGTCGCACACACCGTATCGGTACTGTGGGCTCTTCACCCCGAGCCCTGCCCTAAACCCTAAACCGGCAACCACGGTTTTAGAGGAAAGAAAGCCCAAACCCCTGATGACCGAAACCCGAAACATCCCTGATAGTAACCCTTATATAGAGCCATTTAAAGAATCCTCTCCTTGGAACCCGAAAGCCATGAGACCGGGCCCCCACTCATCCCCAACACAGTAAGCTATAGCGAATAAGGGACCCCTCACTATACATTGTATACATGTATATATATATATATATATATATATATATATTCTAACATGTACGTATATATATATATATGTATATACATACATGCATATGTGAAATTCGCCCCTCCCTGGCCAGACCTACTGCAGGAGCTACCCGAGTAGCTTGCGGAGCCATCCTGCGATGCTTATGATTCGTGAAGTCGCAAAGAGCGCGAGGTTTAGGCCTGTACGGTTGTCAAAGTTGTGCTTCAGGATCCGGATGTCTTCGAAGCAGGGTGCGAAGCAGAACTACGTAATGATTCTGAATGTTTTCTGCCTTGGGAAGGGGAAGGGGAGGGATGGACCGAGGGGAGGCACGGAAGGAGCGACGAATAAGGGAGCGGACATTTATGTTGATGGCGACATCAGGCCAATTTCCGGGGCATCGTATTTTTCAACTGTAGCAGGCGTGTCAGGTGTGGTACCATTAGCCGCACATCTCAAAGCTTCCAAATCCAACCTTCGGACTTGGCTCTCCACTAAACCCCGAGCACAAAGCTCACGTTTTACCCACCCTCGGAGTCCTCTTCCGCCATAGGTGCGGTGGGCCAGGATGCAGGAGCGCATTCGGATTTACATACGAAAGGTGACTAAGTCAGTTTCTGCGTTGCACATTAAAGCCTCATCTCTGCACCGTGTGCAGAAACAGTGCCAGACTACTTCAGGCCGGTAGATGTCAGATTGCACACATGTCGGAAAGTCTCAGAATTTCCCAGGCTCTGCTTCGACTTTGACTCAGAAGAATGGGTGCCACTGGAATTGTAAGTCTATTGCGGCATGTCCAGTTGCAAAAAGTCCTGCCGCTCACTCTCTGAACAGCGTCAAGAGATCAACCGTCCGGTTCTTAGCAGGGAATCGGGGGGAATGGGTTCTGGGAACTATTATTGGGGATTGTATAGGGATCCATTCCCGCATACCCTACTAAGAACCAGACCGTCAAGGAGATCTTGCTGTAACTCTGAAGCAAACTTTCAACCCTCCACCCATAAGCCTTAAACCCTGAACCCGAAGGCCATGTCTGTTTTGGGTGTTAGGGCTTGGACGGCATTTTGGGGTCTAAGCTTATAAACCTAGGACACCATGAAAACCTAAGTGTGCATAAAGGGGCGGGTTCCCTGCCAATTCGGTATTGCAAGCTTCCTCATAGACTCCATAGTAGTTCCTTGTTGGGGTTTCACATTTAGAATCCTTTAAGGTAATCCCCAAAAGGAACTACTTTGGAGCCTATGGGTCATGATTACAAGCTACCAGTTTCTGACTTTGCAACTGAAACAACTTACAGCTCACGCCAAAACTCTGTACGGTTCAGACTGTGTAGAACCTTCACCGATGCCCAAACCCTCAACGGCAACAATCGGCAACAAGTTGGGTGGAGTGGCTCGCATACAATATCTAGAAGGATCCCAACTCGATTTGAAAGCTCCAGAGCCCAACCACCCTCCATGATAGCCAAAACGCCAGCCATTATAAAGAAAACCGTAAACCCTCAAAACAAATCCTGAACCCTATAAAGGCCAGGCTTCGCAAGACTAGACGAGGCCTTTGGGGCTGTAGAGCTTGAAGGTTTTGTTTAAATCTGCTGCATGTCGAGCACAGGTACCCCTGAAGATGTGGATTAGCTTTGGAGCGGCTACCCTAATCCAAGCCCGGCTTACTAAGTCCTTTGATCCTTCAGGTATGACAGACATACCAAGGGACTGAACTCAAGAATCGCACGTTTCGTCCTGTGATGTTCGCGAAAGTTGGCCGCAAAGGGGTTCGCGAACTTCTACGACGTCGGGGAAACGCCCCGGGAAGACCCAGCTTTGCCCCAGAAGCTCCGACTGTGACCCCAAACCCTCCCAAAATAGTAGGTTATAGTGAACCCCAGGGAGTTAGAATGTGGATCTAACATGGTTAGTCCTGGGTTAAGGCATGAGGATATAAATTGGAGGGTAGAACCCTTCAAACGGATTTTGGATCTGCAGGACAGGAGAACCCTCAAAGCCCTGGCCTCGTAACTTCCAGAAATACCCCAAGTACAAGGCCAATTCAATGTCAAAAAGATAAGAAAAAACGACGTAAGAACCGGACCCGGAGTAGTCTAGAGGACCTATGTATAAGATTTGGCTCCCGATTACTTTCCTTATTAAGGTACTGTAGTAAACAAGGTTCTAAAACGGGCGTGGGAAAACTACGACAAGACCGTATGACTTAGGTGTGAAAGGCAGTTCGAAGGATATGGCCAGCATCTCCCCCAGCGTCCTCCCGAACTACGTCACTCATCCCACGGAGACGGAGCACCCACGCGACAGCGTTTCTCGGGCGTCTCGGGCTTGCGTTGGGTTTACGGCGTTTACGGCATACAAATATGATTCCAGTAGTAAGAACACAGATATTGCGACACCAGGCTTCAGTGGCTGCGGAAGGAAAACACCCAACTCTGACGAGGGCCCATTTCACAGCTCCAGAAGACAGTACTGTAAGCCCCACCGATAACCCCAAACTTTGGATCCTGAACCAACAGGGCCGTGACACGCAGGCTCATATCGTAAGGGCCCCTCAACACGGGCGAGACACACCGAGCAATGTGGGTGTGCTTTCAGAGGTTTGGTGCTTTCGAGTTGACCCCAAACTGCTGCAACCTAAGCAAACTCATAAGAAAGGGCCTGTCATCCGCCAACACTACATGCTAAAATCTACGCCTAAACCCTCGGCCTTGAGCGTTCAACCCTAAGCCGGAAATTCAATTCCGACAAAGGGATACTGGGAGTTTCTGGGATGCAGGCCGGCGATCTACCCAACGCGAATCTAACTAATTACATTCCTACCATGCCTGTCGACTGTGACAGTGTTTAGGACTTTTGACTTCAGCCACTGTACAGGGGTTTCGGGCTATGGTTCAGGATGTAAAGGGTTCAACACCCGGGGGGCACGTAAACCCAAACCCTAGGCCAGCGCGAAGCGCCCAAGAACGCTACTCAGGGCAGCGAGCGATGTCAGGCGACCTGATCGTCGCAAAGCATTGAGGTTTGGGGTTTGGGGTTTAGGGTTTGGGGTGTATAGAGTTTCAAACTCCAAAGGCCTGTACCTGCTCTAAACCGTAAATCTGTAGGGTGCGGGGTTTTCGGTTTGTTGAATCTTCAAGAAATTCAGGTTCCAAAGAGCGCCAGAACCCTGCAAACACAACTATAGGGCTTCAAGGTGTGCTATAGGGGCCTGAATGATTAGAATAGGGTTTTGGAGCCCAATTATTGTAAGCAACTCCCAAAAGAGTATTGCCAATTTTTTATGTCCCCCATATATAGATGGGCTTAAGGTGCATAAGGCTTCGGTGAAACCCTTCACCTTTTCCCCTCCGCGACTCCGAAGCCCAGAATGCCCTGAACTGGTGAAGTACTCTGGACTTTGGGATCGGGGCCCTCCTCTCTCTTCTTCAACAACCGGGCCCCAAAAATTCAAACTTTCTAAGATAGGGCTACTATATAAAGCCAAAAAGTTTAAAGCTCCCCAGTTCACTATCTTAGTCTTTTTGCCTTCCAGGGCCTAATTTCTTCGCAGGTTGTTGTGCATATATGTACATGCACACATTCATGTTTACATGCATATACTGTATTATACAGTTACATACATGCATGCATACATACTTACTTACATGGGTTACATACGTATGTACAACTACCTTAGGTGTAGCTGTATGTGTGTGTATATATATATATATATATATAGGTGAACAGACAGATAAACAGTAGATCTCAGATAGATAGATAGTTGCATTACCTATGACGGTGCTTGCTTCCCTGATCCTTCAAGGATAGGGCTTGGCCATGCAGCCGGGTATCTTGTTCTACGAGAATTCCAAAACAATAACTTGAAAATAACGATGGTTGAACCTATCCCCGAAACCCTAAAGCCCCAACCCGGATGTTGTTCTGGTAACGCAGACCCCGTAGTTAAAAAGGAAGCCGTAGACTCCGAGACGTCTTCGCCATGTACCCATAGTAAACTCTACATGCGCCTCTTGAGCCTAGGTTGTGCTATACACATAGACTCCATCAACTCTACATCCTACAACCGGACTCGTAAACACAGTCCTAACGCCCCTAAGTCAGGCCTGATGCAGGATGTCGTTGGCAAGCCGTATAGTCCTGGCCACAAGAACAGCAAAAACACGTGAAAGGCTGAAGATCTGGCAAGTTTCACTCCTGGGTCTTGAGATTCAGGATTGAGGATCGGGCTTTAGTTTATGACTCAGGGTGTAGGTTGAACGGCGGGGATTAAGTCCCAAACCCTGAACCCCAAAGAGGCTGCGGAGCGATGAGGATCCATGCCCCGGAATCCGATGGAGCTTGGGCGAAGCTTGGGATTTCGAATCCGTAGATTGTTGCTAGGAGACCCACAAAAAAGAGAGTGCTCAGTACTAGTAACAATGCAAACACTCTATCTCAACCCCAGGTCATGCCTGTCAGGCTTAAAGCCTCAGACTCCCCAGTCACAAACAACTAGGGTTTAGGGTTTAGGGGTTTACGGTTTAGGGGCTCAGGGTTCAAGCTATCGATGCCGTCAGTTGCGAAAGCCTCGAAGCTTGGGGTACTGCCGCCACCCGGTAACGGTCTATAGTCGGGACCAAATATTAAAGGCGACATCCGAGCATTTATATTGTAAACCTTTTCCATGTTCTAGAGTGGTGGCAATATCAATCAGCACCAAGGAGACAGATACCCTAACCCCCAAACCCCATACCCCTAAACCCTAAACCCCGAACAACCCTGAACCCCTAGACCCTCAACTCCCAAACCCCTGAACCCCTAAAGACCCTAAACCCCGAAACCCCTAAAATGTCTCACCGTCTCACCCGCAGCCTTTCCACCTCGAGGCCCCCGGGGGAGCGCAGCCACGCTGCGCAAAGGAGGCCTGTGGAGAGCACCCTGGCGCCAGCGAAGGTGTAGTTTGTGCTATAATAATAATAATACATAAATAACATATATATATATATATGTATGTATATATATATATATATATATATATATATATATACAATATATATATATATATATATATATATATATATATATAATATCATATACTATTCTGTATTATATATTGTATACTATATATACATACATATATATATATATATATATATAATGTATATACACCATCATAGTATATATGCTATGCATTTTGGGGTTTGGCTTGGGGTATGTAGGGCTTTTAGGGCTGAGCGTCGTGAGGGTTCCGGGGGTGGAGAGTTTCAAACAAGATCAGGCGAGGACCGGCTCGAGAATATGCTGGGACTGCGATTCGTAGAGCTTGATTTATCCCGACATCCCTAAACCGTCAACCCCAGCCCATTCTCGGACTTCTTTGAGGTTGTAGGGACCGCTGTTTCGAGCTTGGAGCCCGGATGCCTCAAAGCATTGACCCCGGAACAAAAGTTGAAGGTCTAGTTGCAGGGACGGGGTTGCGGGACGTTCAGGGCTAAACTTCCTAAAGGAACCCTAACCCATAGTCGGCTGCCCCAGGTCGGAGCCTGATGACCTCGGCCAACGCGATG